ATATTACTACCTTTGAACTAGGCAGTTAGAAGAAATTCATAACATTTCCCTGATTTGCAATGGAGATTGCTAAACAGGTTAGGACTACAGCATGATTACACCATGTTTTTTGAACTCTATTTTACAATCTCTCTATAATTGTCTCATCATATAAAATGTGCTGTTCTCTGAACTAATAAAGGGAATTTGCATTTGCATGCCTATGTGGTAAAATTCAATGAAAATATTTTTTAAAAACTGAAACCCAGAAGTAAAACTTAGATATCTGGACACACTAACTCAGTCTTCTTCAAAAGCTTTAAGTCATGAAAATGCTACTTGTCTTTCTACCACATATTCCAGTCGGTCCTCAACCCAGCTTCTTTTTCCTTACCACTTTTTTTTTTAAAGAATAAAGCACAAATAGTAATAAATGTTTTGTTTTAATTAAAGAGTGGTTAAACTGTTTGCATAAGTTAGTCTTTTCAGCACTAAAAATTCTACTCAAAATACTTTGGTAAGATTAGGTTCACAAGTTAATGAACAGCATGAAATTATATAATTTTCTAGTGACATCACCATGTGGCTAGCTCAAACAATGGGAGGCAAATGAGTCTGGTTTACTTTTCTTAAATTGTCTATTGCTTAAGATATAAGAAAATCAGATTCCTGCTAGGGAGGGAAAAATGGAGTAGACATAATGCTGGCATTTCTGTATATTCAGCCAGTAGAATAAACATTATATTGATAAAGTACAAAAAATTCTTAATCACTATTTTTAAAAGTAGCCTTAATTAAAGTCACTTTGGGCTGAATTTTCAGAATTAAAGTAGACCAAATTTGTGTATGTTTTGCAGATACAGTCCATATTAGCCTCTGAGTTTCATTAGAGCACTATGGAAAAATAATTTGCTTGAGTATTATAAACTGAAGAAGTAAAATGCTATATTGTTTGGTGTTTTTTTTAATTAAAAAAAGTTAACCCAGTTTTATGGTTAATGGTTCAAGGGCATTACCAATCACTTGCAAGCAATTATAACTGATAATTCAGGTTCCTATCCCATCATGACAGGTGCCTCAAAAATTTATAAGGCATATAAAAATTATCAACTTACTTTTCAAAATTTGAGAGGTTTGGTAGTTTTCTTCTGAGCACCTATTGCAACTCAAATAGCTTAAATTTTAAATAGCCTAACAACTTAGATTGTTTGAAGTAAACAATCAGCTGATCACACATCAACTCTACTGTAACACCCAAGCGTTTTTAATGAAAGATTCTTTCAATAAGTTTAGAAATGTTCCCATGGCAACAAGGTAGACGCCAATTCAAAATCAAATTAATATCCCCAAAAACAATCCCAAACCATGAAAATAATATAAATTAATAATGAAGCTAAAATTATTAAGGTGGTTTATTATTTTGAATTCTCTTTCTGCAGTCTTATTAAATCTTTATGGACATTTCCTCTTCTGATCTAATAAGACTTTCCGATTTATAAGACAGAGCTAATGCTATATCCCACAAATGAAAATACAGATGGGCACACTGTAAAACAGAATTCCCTGGCTTTGTTCTTTGGTTTATTTTGACAACGCTGAATCAATGCAAATTGTATCTATATTGTATTCCCTATAAAAGAAAATCCAACATAGAAAAACAATCCCAAATAATAACACTGCCCAGCTGGTAATCTTGAAAACTTAAGAACTGATATGAATTAAATGCGGAATGTGTATGCTGACAGTTTGCAGCAGATCTGAGACAGCATTCCTTTTGTTGTTTTTCCTGACAGTGGTAGAAGTGTCATTCATATACTTGAATAACTCGATAATTATGTCCGGAGGGGACTTAAACTAGATTTTTTTTTTAATGAGCCTTGATTTTCTATATTCACCTCTGGTGGGAGTCTTTCCCTTTACTTTTTAAAACTGTCAAATGTAAACATATATGTGAGCACTAGAGAAGAGTAATAAAATGAATAGTTTTGCACTATACCCGCCATGTTTACTTTCCCTATTGCATCCTCCGCTTTCCTGTCATCTTCGTTCTTTCCCTTGGAGTTAAGCACCATCTTGAATTTTGTATTAATCATTCCTTTTCTTTCCTTTAAACTTTTTCCATCAATGCAGGTATTTCTAAATTGATTTTTTTTTCAATTTTCCCAGTTATAGCTTCCCTGGTGGTCTAGTGGTTAGGATTCGGTGCTCTCACAATTTTCCGTTATGAATTTAATTAAATGGGACCAAACTGCAACATACCCTTATGAATGGCTTCTTTTGATCAACATTATGTTTTTGACAGTCATCCACGTTGATGTCAATAGCTGAAGTCATTCATTTTTCTCAACTGTATGGTATCCCAAGGCATAAATTTATTACAGTTTATCCATTCTATGAAATGGATGTTGCAGTTATTTCCAGTTTGAGGCTATTACGAAACTATTGCCTCAAAGTGGATACTCTTGTGTGTGACTTATGCTACACATGCACAAGTAGTTCCCTGGGGCAAACCTCTAGGAGAGTGATCGCTGGGTTGTAGCAAAGGCACAAATTAAACTTCTCTAGTTAATGCCAAGGACATTGTACCATTTATACCCCCACCAGCTGTGTGTGAGATTTCCTGCTGCTCCAGATTTTAACAATAGTGGCTCTGTCAGACTTTCAAAGTTGTGCCAAACCAGTAGGTAGGAATGCTCTATTACAGTGTTATCAGTATATATTTATCTGCTTATTGATGAGGTTAACAAAAGATACTTGTATTAGTCAAATGTGTTACAAAAAATTCTCTTAGTTTGTGGTTGTCTTTTTGTTCTCTGATAACAACAGGAAGGTTGTAATCTTAATATAGTAAAATTTATACATATTTCCTTTATGATTTGAAAATTTTTTACCTAACTAGTTTAGAAAAAAACTGTTCTCTAAGTCAAAAAATCCTAATTATAAATTTATAGTTTTATAGTATGGCCTTTCACATTTAAACGACCTGGAATTGCTTTATGTAACGACTCATGAAGTAGAGATCCAATTTTAATATTTTTTTCTACATGGATAACCAATTATCCTCAAACCATTTATTAAATAGCTCATCCTTTCCTCACTGATCAATGGCACCTTTGTCATTTAGCAAGTCCTCCTTTTCTCTGATGTACTGCAGTTTCATTAAAGTATGTTTAGTTATAGATTCACGATCTTTTGTAGAATTCTTTAGAATTACTGTGTCTGAGAAATGATCAATGTCTTTCAATAGTTCCAAATTTTTTTCCTTTTTACGTTCTCTTTATTAACTTCATTTGGAACCCCAACTGAACATACAGCAGGTGCCAAAAAATGTATACACATTTTAAGAAAGGAAAAAACTGTATTAAAATTACGCTGATGGTAACCACTTTGAGCACCTCTTGTAATTGCAGAAGTCAAACGTGACTTTACTCATCTTTTGTTATCAGTACATATTATTACAATTTAATAGTTTTTCCTTTCTTAAAATGTGTGTACATTTTTTTGGCACCCTCTGAATATTACGTCTTCTCACTATTTCCTTCATGTGTCCTACATATTTTACATTTCACATTCTCTTATTCATATTTCCCCATTTTTGATTCTCTGAGCACAATTGTGGATAATTATTGCTTCAGCTATGTCTAATCTGCTTTAAAACTCATTCACTGAGCTCTTTTTCTAAAAGTATTACATTGATTACTTAGAAATACTCCATTTCTTTTTCAAATCTTCTGTTTCTGCCTCATATTCCAAAGCTTCTCTTTTACTTCTTTACACTAAATAGTGTCATTTTGATTCTGTCTGAAAATTTTGATATCTGACAACACTCCAGATCTGTTTTTCTCATCCGCTATTTCTACTGTCTCTTAGCCATAGTACTTTGTTTTCTTGTGTATGTTTTTTGTTTCTGTTTTATCTATTTTTTGTTGTTGTTTTTAATATTAGCTACTCATTCCCAGAGCACTTTATTTGTGAAAAAATCTTTGAGGATGGGGTTGAAGATGGCTTCCTCCAGGGAGAAAATAGTGTTTCCTAATTTCCTACTATCACTGATAATGACAGAGCACTTAATTAAAATTCACCACTTAAATTTTGTTCAGCTTCCACATATAATGCGATTGGCAAATTTCTCTCATTCCTGTGTTTAGTGTTGTGCTTAATAGTCTTTTAAAAATATTTTAAAATATTTAACACTGCATTTTAATAATCTTAATCAGAAGGAATGCTCAGGGTATATAATTTGCCATAATGCCAGAAGCAGAAATGTATTAACATTTTGAAGTTTTTATCCCTCTATTTGTTTAACTCATAATGAGCTGTTATAAAAGGGCTGCCTTAAATTCAAGGTTACTTCTCCAAATACAAGATTTCTGTGTTATAAACATTCACAGTAACACTTCTGGGGTCCATCAGGCTCTGGCAAAACTGCAGCCATGTGACCTAATCCATTCCCAGATGTAGATTCCCAGATGGAAGGAAGCCATCAGTGCGAGAAAGAGGACAACACACCAGAAGCTACATTTTCCATTTTTAAAGTTTCCTCAGTTATTGAGCTCCAACCTTTAAGTTCTGTGACATAAAAATTGCAGAAATAACAGTGAGGCCTTAGGCTCCGTGAGGAATACCTATACACTACCCACAGGGAGTCACCCAGGTCCTCCAGTGGCTTGCTTCTTTGTTTCTTGTTTTTGGATTATCTCTCAGACTCTGATTCTGACCATTATTCTTGCTTTGATTTGGTGACTTGGACACTGACAGCAAGTCCTTCCACTTGCTCTAATCCTTTAGCTCCTTTTTTTCCTCCATGGGTATTTGATTTACACACATTTTCCTATGTTAGATTATATCCCATGTGTTCTTCTCCTGGATATATGAGTTATCTCTAGTTATTCCTCATCCTCCTTGAGCATCTGATTTACCTAGATCTATAAGCTACAGTAAGTACAATTCAGAAGTGAATTTTTTTGCCCCCTTCAGTTAAATAAGCATTACTACTCAAACGAGATTGTTGAAAGGGTTACCTGAATGGGTCTTCCATCGGGTGTCAGGACCTCTTCTGAAAGTTCCATCATCTTCAGGGCCATCAGGGCAATGGGTTTAGCATGGCACAGGCTTTTCCTGTGGAGTCCTGCAGCAACACAGTATGCGTCACCTATTGTTTCCACCTGCAGCAAGCAGACAAATTAAATGCAAACATATGATAATGAGCCAGAATAGGAATGATTAGTTATCTGCAATCACAAATGTTGCTGAAAAGCATGTCAGCAAAACATGGATAAATTAAGCAATTAGACAACTGAGTGTAATCACAGCAGAGTTTGCAAACAGCCACAGTAAAATACTGACATGTCACTCCAAGGCCGTTCATCAACATTAGCACCATAGACGATCATTGAAATTGAGAATAACTATAATATAAAATAATTATCCTCTGCGAAAAAAAGTGTCAGGGCTTTACCTGGACAATTTCCAAATAATGACTTTTTCAAAGCCCCCCTCTCATCTCCTTTTAACCTTTAATATTGGTTATGTTTGAGACATTAAAAATTGATGTGCAAAAACCTAACCATAATCCTACAATTAAAGAGTTAATAGGCGCAGTCAGTCTCTCCCCACCCTGTTCTAATCCTGCTGTCAGCAACCATCCTGAATGGCCATTGCTTTTGTTCAATATTTTAAATATTTACCCCAGGTTAAAATCCCCAAATTTCCAAAGCATAGAATATGACATACAAGTTAGGCACAACTTATTTTCAGAGGGAAAGTTCACTAGTTATCCAATGTAAATATGATGGTAAAATCTTCAAGAGTTCTAATATTTTAATTAGAGCAAAGTGATGAACTATTGTATATAATGCTCAATTGCAATATCACCTTTTCTCTGAAGCTCTCCATGGTCATTCCATTAGTTATTAGTAGAGCTAATCCTTTCTTCTATTTGGTTCAGCAGCACTTTCCACACCTAGTTGCTATAGCTTTCATCATAGGCTACAATCAATATGTATCTATGTATAATCAATATGTATCCCCAGCTGTGATGTGGGCTGTTTAAAAATGGGACCGTGTATTTTTCATCTCTGTATTCACAGGGCTTATCATAGTGCCAAAAATATAGATATTTAACAAATATCTACCAAATGAATAAATACATTAATCCACCATGTTTACCATGATTACAATAATAATCATTCTATTCGTTTGCTCATTTTCACCATTCATTTCATGAGCATCGTGTAGACCTGTGTGCCATGTAGAGATGTGTAGGAAAAATAAAACAGCCTCTAAATGACTGGAAATGCTTTTATCATAAACATACCAAGAAATACAGGATATTCTATTAGTTGAGATTTAATAGCCATAATTAAATTTCATGTGAGTACATTCTAACACTATAGTAACACTATAGTATTAAAAGATGTAGTGCATTAAATTCTGTGAGCAGTAATTTAGAGAATATGATAAGAATACTTAAGAAGCCCATGGGACTAGGATGTCAAAATTATCACCTGCTTATCAGAATCTTATCAGAAAATATGCATCAAAAATGATTCCAATATGCTCAGAACTATCATGAAGTTCAAAAATTTCACTTCAAGATCTGTTTTCTGATGCCAGAAAAGCAGAAATAAAATCATATGATAAGAACAGAAAGACAATGCAATGTGAGTTAGAAAACGCTTTATTCTAAAGACTATCCCCAAAGAATTCTCACTGAGAAAGACACCCAGAAACTAATCAACATCTATTATGTGGACATTTACCATTTCCTCCCTACAAACACAAAATCCTTTGCTAATCCTAACATTTCTCTCATCCTTGCATATTTCTATACAGCTTAAAAATCTAGAATGCTGTTAGCTGTGTACTTGGGAACCAACTTCTGATTTTCAGATATTAGGGTACATAGGCAGTAAACTATTTGTGTAAATTGAATTGCTTCACAGTCACTCTGAACATGCATGTTCCTGGAGCACCATTTCTTCTTGAAGTCCCCATGGTTATCCTCTTCCTCAGCAATATTACCTCCATTATCTTTTCAGCAAAGTGTATTGAGTTCCACTAAATGTGTATTTGTAGAATTTGTGCCAAAAGAATAAAGATTAAGTTGTACTTTCTCTGTAGGAGTGTGTAATGTAATCAGATGGAGAAGATGGACCAATATGCTACCAATTGATATAACATAAATCTAATGAAGTGCAAGACAAATGTGTGCACAATACAAATATAATAAATTCACATTAAAACCCAGACATCATCAGGTAAGATTTAATAGAATTTTATTTCCAAATATTTGAAGTAGGTTAGCTATCAGAAATAACAGGATCAAGAAAGAGTCAACAAATAGACATCAAATGGAGTCGATGGAATTGTAATAGATATGTATGATATCAGGGAGGGGGCAGTTGATTGCGGGCGGGGGTGGTCACTTTGTGGGAGGTGAAAAGTATAACTATTGCATAGTTTTGTACACCTAAAACTAATAAATAAATAAATAAATAAATAAATAAATGAATAGATGAAATAGACATCAAAAAACAATGGCCCGTATGAAGCTGTGAAATTTTCACAATTGTTCATAAACACCCAACATACAGAAAAAAATCTAAAAGACATTGTTTCCATTATGCTAGGCTAGATTATGCTGCAGTAGCTATATAACCTTCGAATCTTAATGCCCTGAAATAACAAAACTTTATTTCTGATTCCTGCTACATATTCATGTGGATTAAAAGATTGGGATGGATGGGTGAAACACTGGGCCACATCTCTTCACTCTAGAAACAAGGCTAACAGAACCTCCTCAACCTGGAGCTGGTTGTCATGGCACATGAAGAGATGTTCTGACAATTTATACAATAACTCTTCAAGCTTTCTCCAAGATGTGACATATAGCTACTTCTCAAAGTTCATTCACCAAAGCAAGTCACATGGCCATGCTTCAGGTAAAGGGGATGGGAAAATGCAACCAACCTGTGCGCAGAGCGAAGCCAGAAATACTTGGTGAATAGCATTAGTGAGTATATGAATAACTAGGTAGCAGCTTAAAATTTTTCAAATACTCAGATGTCTGTACAGTGTAAGCAATATATTCGCGTGATGTTTTCTTGCTTTGCAAATACATTCAGCATCTTAACCTGAACATTTTAGCAGAAATGCTACCACCTTAGTAATGCATCTTTCCATTAAAGCTCCATTCTTCCTTTTCTCCCTTCATCCATGTCAGGTCTATACAAGTCTAGCAGAATTAAGAATATGTAAACATTTTAGTGGGTTCACTTCAAACTAATTTGTTGATTTTTCCTTACAGGGATCTGTGAAAGTGAAAGCATTACATATCGATTATAATTGCTCTTGAGAATGTTTCCTTAAGTTAAACCAAAGTTAAACATGTGTACACTGTAAACATATACAAAACCCCTGTCCAAAAAGCTGACTACATTTTTGAATTCCTTTATAATAGCCTCAGTGTTTTTTAAATAGAACTTTAAACACAACACACAACCATCTAAAATTGTGCGTATCATTTAGTTTCAGCATCTTCCACCTGTTACTGAATGACATTAAAATAAAGATGGCTAAACTAGGCACGGAGATGGAAAAGATAATCCATGCTTATGCAAATGTCTGAAAAACCTTATATCCTTTTCTAAACATAGAAGAGGAGGTTTAAGTATTAAAAAATATTATGTAAAGTTTTGTCCCACATATAATTATTATAGCTGCTTTATCAAACTTTAAAGAATTCACCTATTTCAGTATATCTTATCAACACTTTATAATCAAAATCCTCACATTATTTCAGAAATAAAGGTGATGTAAATAAACTTCTTAGATCTATGCATTCACCTTTTATTTACTTAATTTTAGTTCTATATTAGCCATTTAAAAGAATTTATTTTAGCTCCTGATAGAATCCTGTTCCCATCACACTCTTCTCCCTTCCCTCCACGCTAAAGCTCGAGAAATACCTGGAGGTTTTTGGAAATTTGGGCACAGTGGGGAGGAGGGAGTAGATGTGCTGCAGGGGAGAGCAGTGGTGGTAGCGGGACTGGGATTAGCCTAGAAGAACACTGCATATAATAGGGCTATTAACAAGCCCTGTCCCATGGAACCCATGCCAGCTCAGTCCTTCATCCCAAAGTCTCCCTTTGAACTTTCTAGGGTGTGTGAAAGGGAGCTTGGGGAGGGGCACAAGGGCAGAGGGGCAGGAAACTCTTGTCAGGCTGCCGCACTGGACCCTCTCCCTCTCTCCCTCTGGATACTGAGAGGAGAAGCAGACTAGAAAGTCTGCATTTCTATTTGTTTTGTTTTCTGCTTTTGGGCTTCTAGTATTCTTAGAAACAGAAAGAGAGGGACAGGAATGGAGGGAAGGAGTGAGGCAGGGATGGGGAAAGAGGGAGGGAAAGGGAGAGAGAGAAGGAGAGAATAAGGAGAGGGAGGGAGGGAAACAGGGAGAGAGGGAGAGAGGGAGAGAAGGAGAGAGTGTGAGAGGTAGAGAGAGAGAGAGAGAGAGAGAGAGACAGACAGAGAGACAGAGAGACAGAGAGAGAGAGAGAGACAAAAGAAGAGAGGAGCGGTTAGGTGTTGGAATGAGATGTAGGCAGAAAGTTGAAGCCTAAAGATGAAAATGTCTTCTTTCACCTCCTAGCATCTCACAGGGCACTTGGTCACCTGGTCATGGTCAGGTGAGTGAAAGCAGGCTGGCAAACATGCCACATTCTTCATGAGCTCACTGGCTGTGGCCAAGACCACTTGATTATCAGAAAGGATACCATATTCACCCTTGCAGAGAGGATGGAGCCACAGCTGCCAGCCTAGTCACCTTTCTGACATTAGGTATGATTCCTGAGTGACAGGGAAAAGAGGCTTAGTGGAGGACATTTCCAGTGGTTGGCAGGGAGCTGAGTCCACAAGCAGTTCTTCAGGACCTCGCTGACTAGAAACCAGACGCCGGGGTTGCTGGTGTCTGGACACAGATTCTCCAAAAGGCTGGCCAGAAAAGGCAGAGCATGGCACAGGCCTTCTTGAAGCCTTATCAGTAGCAGAAGAGCAGGTAAAACTAGACTTGGGTAGATTTACAAGCCCCTTACTTTTTGCCCTTCATCTCCTAAAACTGGCTCAGCAGCTCTCCACTGCTATGTCTCTGTTATTCCTGATACTCAGC